ACACGTTAGTCCTTTCTCAGCACTGCTTCCCCCCCACGGGGACTGCTAGTCTCCTCGGGAGTCACCTTCTTGTTTTCTGCTCCTGTGTCCTCTTGGGTGGAGCTCAAGGCTTCTCTCACCTGGGCAGGTAGTTGTAGTTCCCTAGGCCTTGGGGGCCTTCCCTGAGCCAACCCCCTTTCCTGCTCGCACAGGAAGAGACTGGTGGCCTTTCATGTCCAGGGTACGCAGACAGTTTTGTCGTGAAGCCTGGCCGCCCCTCTGCCTGCAGTCCCGTCGGTGGCAGTGTCCCTGAGGTCCAGGAGCCACGTCCTTCCTCGGCCTCCTCAGGCTCTGGTCTGGTCTGACTTCCTGCCCTCGCAGAGGCGGTCCATTCTGTCCCCTGCCCTGACACACCGGGCCCTGGGGCACAGGGGTGCCTGGACACTGTCGCCCTCCCCTGTGTGAGCCAGTTGCAGCCAGCGGTGCTGGGAGGTGTGGCGGAGCTCTGGAGGCCCCGCCCTGCACAGCAAGTCCAAGGTCAGCGCTGGTCCTGCTGGTCCTGCTGGGAGAGCAGCAGCCACGCGTCACTGCCTCCACCCACATGTGTTTCCCGGGGACTCGCTCTGTGCCAGGCTGCGTGCTGGGGGTGTGCGAGGGGCGTTCACACCTTGGCAGGCAAGCAGGCCACACGCGGAGGACCACGTGGAGGGCACAGGGAGGTCTCCAGGGGCGGGGCTGTCGTCCTAGAGCCAGGAGGTCCCGCCGGAGCAGGCGTTCCCTCCCCACGCTCTGCTTCCTTTACTTGGCCTTTCCTTTCCGGCCCCCTTTCTCTGCTGCCCGGGGTCGGTGGCACTCAGGCCTTGCTCACCGGCCCCAGCAGTCGGGTTGGGCCCGGGTTGGGCCCAGGCTCGGCAGGCAGGTGGCTTTGGGTGGGACTGTCCTGGGGATCCACAGAGAAACGGGCAAGGGCTGCCTCCAGCCATTCCCTGAGGTTCTAGCTGTTCTGCATGTGGGGAAGCTGGCAGAGAACACGTCTCGGTGACCTAGTGACCGCAGAGCAGGAAGAGGTCGTGGAGGGTGCGGAAGAGGACCGGGGCCCAGGGAGCTGCAGGGCCACGCGGGGTTCGTCCACGGCGCCTTCTGAGGGCGGCGGCGCAGCGGGTGGGGTTCGAGAAGTGGCACAGCCGCCAGGGCTGAGAGTCCCGGGCTGGGCACGACGTCTCTTCCCAGGCAGTGCAGTCACAGCTGTCCTTCTCTCTAAGTAGCAGACGGACGTGTCCGAAGACAGCGATGACGATGTGGACGAGGATGAGATCTTCGGTTTCATCAGCCTCCTGAATTTAACTGAAAGAAAGGTGGGTTTCCCCGTGTGCACGGTCCTTCCTGCCGCCCAGGCCACGTTTGCGTGGGCACGAGGCGGGGGTTCCTGCGTCAGTGGTGGTGGTGGCAGTTCCCCGGGAAGGCGGGCCTGTGAGGGCCGCTGTGGTCCTTTCCGTCCCGTCGAGGGTGTGCGCCCAGGGGAAGTCGCTTCCTCCCCGTGATGCAGAGCCACCCCCTGGCGGCGGGACCGGCGGCGTGCTGTTGGTGTTGGCACAGCTGTTCTGCCCCCTCTGCGGCTGCGCCCCGACCGGGAGGCGGTGCCGCTCCCTGGGGGAGGGGCTGACAGACACCGGCCTGTGTTTTCATCGGGGCTTCTCGCTGCTTGTCGATGAGTCCTGATGGACAGTGGGAGCCGGCTGCTTGCCCGTCTCAGATCCGATGTGGGCTGCACGTTGTTTCACGCGAACCTCAGTCCCGTCGGTCAGGTCACGGGGAGGGCTGGGGCTGCTGTCCAGGGCGCCTGCCTCTCAGCCGGCTCTGCCCCTGCGCCGGTCGTGGGGCGGGAGTGCTGGCGGCCCCGGTGCTTCGGGAAACGCTGAGGCACCACCCCTGAAGGCCTGAGGTCGGCGGGCTGTGGCAGACGGCTGCCCTCCTGGGAGGCGGCGGGGGGTCGTCCTCACTTTGGGGTTCCTCCTGGAACCCCAACCCCAGGCAGGGGCCTGGGGTGAACGGCGAGCCTCCTCTCCGCTCTCCAGGGTGCCCAGTGTGCCGAGCAAGTTAAAGAGCTGATCCTGAGCCGCTGTGACCAGAACTGTGAGAAGAGTGTGGTCGACCAGCTGGACAAGCTTTTGAGTGACGCCAGCAAGCCCGTGGGCCTTCTCCTGAGTGAGAGATTCATTAACGTGCCCCCCCAGATCGCTCTGCCCATGCACCAGCAGCTGCAGTAAGAGGCTTCGGAACGCCTTCCTCGGGGCGTCTCCCGTGGGCTGGGGAGTGGGGTTCAGGGCGTGTGCGGGCGCAGGAGGGGCGCCGCCCCAGTGTGGGCTGGGGTGAGGCGAGGGCGGCCTGGGCGAGACGTTCTGCTGACCGGCCCCAGAGCACTCCCGCCGTCAGACCCTGCGGGCCGTGGTCTCCGTGCACGTGAAGAGTTAAGTGGCACCGAGATAAGTGAGGTCACGCAGACTCGTTGGTCCTGTTCCGCTGGCTTTTCCCCCTCTTCGCAGGTGTGTGTCCGTAACGTGACTATAACACTGAACAATTACAACAGGCATTGGATATGATTCCCAAATTCCACTGGGGTGTTTTGTGACTAGTGAAACCATGGTCTTGATATACCACACTGCTGGCCGGCCTCCCAGGGTTGGTGGTTTCATTTGTAACGGCAGCTCCCAGTGGACAGGGGTACTGTAAACGTGGGAAGAGCACTGCCTGCGCTTTGCAGTGGGGGGGGATGAAGGCGCGACCCGGCCCGGGCCTCGCGGCCTGGCGGCTCTCAGGGGCCGGGGCTCTTGTGCCGGGGGCTCCTCCCTGGGCCTGGAGCTGGCCGGCACAGCAGGGTTTGGGCTTCTCCTTACCGAGCCGTTGCTTTTCAGCTGCATGCGCCGCCCGCCCCCGCCCCCTGTGCCCCGCGAGTTCTCGGTGCACTCCCGCTGCCCGGGTGCCGCTCTGCGCTGCTCTGCCGTCTTTCTCCCGGTCGCTTGGCGTGTGTGTTTCTTTGGTGTCACAGGAGGGTGATCTGCTCTTCCTCGATCCTCTGCCAAGAAAGCGCAAGCGGCTTGCGTTTCTCGTTCAGCCGGACGCAGGGTTACGTGTAGCTTTCAGAAAGGCTCCGCTGCCCCTCGTGGGCGGTTGTGGAAGTCAGGGTGTCTGTGCCGCGCCTCTCCGTGGTCTGGGAGACCGGAGTCCCGGACTCGGGCGGCCGGAGACAGCAGTCACGTGCCTGTGTGCACTTCCATCCCGTGCGTGCTGTTTCAGAAAAACCTAGATTTCTGCGTATTTAACCCGCACACAAAGCAGAGACACTGGGTGAATTTGAGACTTGTCCGTTAGTTGCTGGTGTCCACAGCTCAGCCTAATCTGTGAGAGTCACCGTGCGAGTGACTGTAAGGGCGCTCGCTGCCGTGATCAGTGAGTGCAGCGGACGGCCAGAGTGAAACTCGCTGCCTCAGAAGGAAGGGTCCGCTCTACCGCCTGCTGGGGAGGCCTGTGTGTGAGCAGAACCTCCCGCCCGGCCTCCCTGCCGTCCCCTGGGCGCTGGGCTGGCGGTGGGCCGGCCTCCCGGGGCCCAGCATGCAAACGTGTGTGTGTGTGTGCATGCGCCTTGCAGGAAAGAGCTGGCGGAGGCGCACAAGACCAACAAGCCGTGTGGGAAGTGTTACTTCTACCTTCTGATTAGCAAGACATTTGTGGAAGCGGCAAAACACAACTCCAGGAAGAAACGGAGCAGCCACAAGAAGGACGAGTTAGTGTTTGCAAACGCAGAGGAAGAGTTTTTCTATGAGGTAAGACTGTCTCATCCTGTCTGTGTGTTTAGATGGTCGTAATGATTTCTTGGTAGCAGTAGATCAGGGGTTTTGCTCTCCCGTTTCACATCAAAGTCCCTGTTGTGCGGCCACTCTGTTTTCCTCCCCGTCCCCAGCCGCCAGCAGTGAGCCAGTGCCTGGCCCACACCGGCCCCCCCCCGCCCCCCACTGGCAGGGCTGTGTGTGGGTGGGAGGGGAGCGAGGCCGCAAACCCGCTGACGGTGGCCGGGCGCTGCGAACGTGCCGTGGGGGCTGCAGGTCTGAAAGGCGCCCTGGGCGGCAGCCGTGAGCCTGGTTTACCGATGGGGACCTCGAGTTTGGGGGAGAGGAGAGCCGTCACCTGAGACCACACAGCCAGTGAGGCGGAAGCTGGGGCAGACGCCCTGCCCCCATTCTGGCTCCCATGCCACTCTGTGCCCGTGGTCCTGGGTGGGGTTTCCAGCACTTTCTCCTGGGAAGGTAGCTTGTGCTGTTGAGGACAGCACGAGAGCACACGAGTGATTTCAGAGTCACGAATGGCACGTAAGCGGGCAGTGTGCCGGTACCGCTCGCGGCCTGCTCGCCATAGAGCCGGGACACTGTCTGCGCTCCCCAGGGGTTGGTCAGCTTCTGCTGGGGGGTGAGCCCCCGGAAGTCCTGCCCGCGCGGCCCTGCCCCTCTGGGCTTGCTCCGTCCTGCGGCCGCTCCTTCAGTGGCCGTGCTCCCACAAATGCGTGGCAGGCGCGGCAGACCCGGCGCCCCGTGTCTGAGTGCGTGTGGCTCTCTGCGTGCAGAAGGCGGTCCTGCAGTTCAGCTACTCGGTGCAGGAGGAGAGCGACACGCGCCTGGGCGGCAGGTGGGCCTTCGACGACGCCCCGATGACGCCCCTGCGCACGGTGATGCTGGTCCCATGCGGCGAGACGAGTGCCATCATGGACCGGCTGAAGGAGCACCTCTCGGTGTAGCCCCCCCGCCCCCCCCGCGGGCAGCAGCGTGCTGGCGTGTGTGCGTTACCAGAAGGCCCTGTGGAGACTCACTGAAGAACTCCAGACTTTATTTAGATTGAGATTCTCTACGAAAGGTAGGGTTCTGCTGCCTGTGTCTGTGACATGTGTACAAACTGCTTTAAAGAAGTTTAGGTCAAATCATGAATGGTTGATTAAAAGCTTTCCCAGTAAGAGGAAAAATGTGGAGTAGTAATTTAAGGAACTCAATAAAAACTTCTATTTTTTATTTGAAAATAGTATACAGTGTGGATTTTTCAGGCACCTCCTGTGTGGGGTGTGACACCCTGATGTGCTCCCTCCCGCTGCGTCGCGGGCCGACGGCGCGCCACAGCGGGACAGTCTGAGCGTCACTGTACAGCGCATCTCTGTTCGGGGGTTTCGGGGGACCTCTCACACGCGTGCTGCTCCTGTTTCGTGGCGGACATGGGTGACGGGGGACCCGTTACTTGCTGCAGGATGTCCTTACTCTCGCTAGGAGGCAGGTTACTGAAGTAGTACTGTGGTGCCAGTTGCATGAATCTGTTTGAAACAGAAACGTCATCTTTGGTGTGCGACGGCAGACCCATCTGGGCGCTCCCCAGCCCTGGAGCCCCTGCCTGCCTGGGGACTGGCGCTTCACTGGAACTCCTCGGGGCCTCCGCCTGCCTTTGCAGGACCAGCGCTTTCTACGGTTTCTGTGGAACAGCCCAGCTGCCTTTCTGGGGTGAGCTGGCCTCTCTAGTGAGGCCGCACAGCAGAAGCGATGGCCACCACTCTGCCCCCCGGGGATACTGGTGCCTCCTGTCCCACCTCGCGCAGTGCACGAGGGTCCAGCCGGGTGTTAGGGAGAACTCTGGGTGGGTCAGAGGCAGGGCCTGGCCTCTGTCTCTTCCTGATGCACCAGTCCACACCCAGCTCCGCAGCCAGACCCCTGCTGGTTTCCGTCGGTTCTGCCCAGGCCGGCGCCTGCAGCAGCTGAGGGTGGTCGGAGTTCCCACCCCTGCAGCCAGAGGGAGCTTGGAAAGGGCTGAAGGAGATGCCACCCCTCTTAAAACTTCTGTTGCTTCCTGCTGTGCTGGGCGTGACCTCCAAATTCCGGTGGCCGTGAGCCTGCCACCCCAGTGCCCACCTGTCTTCGTCTCTCCCCGTCCCTGCCCTCCCCGCTGGCCCGTCTCCGTGGCTCCTCTGGGGGGAGGTGGCTGAGCTCGTCCCTTCTCAAGGTCTGCACCTGCCCACACCTGCGGCACTGCGTTCCCTGCAGGTGCCCTGTGCCCGGTGTCACCTTTCTACGACGCAGTCTCCCTTTCTGCTGCCGTCTCTTGGGGGCCGTCTCTTAGATAACCACCCACGGAGACCTGTCTGTAGGCTGCTGCCCGAATACCCTGCCTGTGCCCAAACACAGTGACCAGGTTCTCATTTGCTCCTGCACTGCGGGTTCACTAGAACCCTCCGCCCCCACGGCACGTACAGTTCTGGAGAGGTTTCGGAGGCGATCCGGATGTAGTTGTTCTCTGAGATGCTGAACGTGTGGAAGAGGACCCACTCGGGCAGCCTCCGGGAGACGGCGTAGCCGGACAGGGGGTGCAGCTGCGCCACGTGCCGGTGCGTCAGCATCAGGTAGTTCCCCGCCCCGTCCACGTCCCGGGCGATCTGCCGGCGGCGCGGCCGGGGGACAAGAGGAGCGTTAACGTGGGGATCGGCACACAGCTGTCGGGTCCAGTAAGGGGACCCCCGAGTGCTTGGAACTGCAGACCTGCCACCCACGCTTCCTATTTCCGGGGGCCGGGGATCAGACGGACTGGTTTTACCCAGAGCTCTGAGACGGTGGTGGCGGTGGTGGCGGTGCGTGGCTCACACGTCCAGGGCGGCTGCAGTGGCTCACGCCGGGTCGGGCAGGAAGCCCCACTGTGGACCACGCACACGCCACGTGCGTCCCACTCGACGTTCCAGCTCACCCCCTGCCCCTCCCGTGTGCTGGCGGAGCGGCTGGGGACGTCCTCTGAGAAAGGACTCCTGGGACGTCCTCTTCCTCTGTCGGGCACCGAGTCACCGGCGACTGGGAGCCGGCTCGCTGATGGGCAGGGCGAGGGGCTCTGTCTGATGTGCAGCCAAAAGGGGCGTTTCCCAGCCGTCCCTCCGTAAGGGAGGGGCCGCTCGTCCTCTCGGACTAGGTCTGCACTCTGGCTCAGCCCGCCCTCCCTGATGGGGGCTGTTCACACACTGCGTCTGTAACAGCACAAGGCTTTCAAGTTCCCGTCAGTGAAATGACCACCCTGGGAGATGCCTGCTGTGATGACCTGCACGCACGAGGTCTGGTCAGACCACGTGGAGGCGGTCCCAGCCGCCCTCACCTGCACGAGGGCCCTCACCTGCACGAGAACCCTCACCTGCACGAGGACCCTCACCTGCATGAAGTACCCTCACCTGCATGGAGGACCCTCACCTGCATGGAGGACCCTCACCTGCACGAGGGCCCTCACCTGCACGAGGACCCTCACCTGCATGAAGTACCCGGACAGGAGCGCTCTCTTCAAGTTCACAGTGTTCTCCCTGGAGCCAAAGGCGGGGTCCGCGTAGGGAAGCTCGATGCGCTTGATGATTTCCAGGAGCTCGGCCCGGATGACGTCCGCCGCCCTGAGGGCGGGGCAGCTGAGGAAGTGGTCCTGGCACCACTGCTCCACGCAGCCTGGGTGGGGGTGGGGGTGCTTCAGAAAAAGAGCCTGTCGCCACCTGAAAGGGCCCGCTCTCCTCTGTCCTCTCCTGTCCGGAGGAGGAGGTTGCAAGGACGGGGCCTCTGGCGGCTGCGAGGGGCCGTCTGGGGTGCTGCCAGAGGAACCTGGGCTGGCCGGGGTTCTGCGGGGTTCCGCGGGGTTCCGAGACCCCACGCACTGGGGAAACGGCACATTCCCACTGTCACCTTGTCCGGGGCGGGGGAGGACAGCCTGGGGCCCACACCCGGCCGGCCTGCGCACAGCCAGGGCGTGTGGGGTCCCCTTCGGTTGGACGGGGACCGGAGGAGCTTCCAGTGGAGAGCCCTCCGATCCGTGGGAGCATCTCAGTATTTGTTTTGTTGTAAGGAAAGGGTTACTCAAGGTTGACCGGGAACCTGTAGCTGCCCTAGCTGCACGTTTTACACTAGAATTCAGCCACCTGGTTCGGTTTGAAGTCACTCATTCTTGTCACCTGTGAGCACGCTCATCGAGGTGGACCGGGGCTTGCCATGAACTGGCAGTGCACGTGGCCGTGGCCTTGGCCTTGGCGTGGTGGGTGGCAGACCTGTCAGCTGGTCCTGCCGCACAGGCCCATTCCGAGCAGTGGGAGCGTGCACTGGCGGGCACCACCCCGCGGCCCTCCCAGGTGCCACCAAGCGCCCCATGTCCTGTCTGCCTCCGCCGCTGTCCCCTGAGCCTCGAGAAACATTCGCATCGCTGGCACAGTTGTCACCGCACGCCCCTTTCACACCCCCTCTCGGAGCGGAGGAGGCACAAGAAGCTTTGTGGAGAACAGGTGAACCCCACAGGCTGCCTTTGCAGACCTCGGCCCCCACCACCCCACTTAGCCCTCTCCGCCCTGGAGGTGCCCCTCCCGTCAAGCCCAGCACAGCAGCTGCACACGAGGAGTCTGCCGTTGCTGGTCATCGAGAACATGCCGACGCCCAGAACCGCTGCCTCCCCAGCTTCCGCATGCAGACCCGTTCTCTGGGCCCGGTGCCCCTCCGCCCCACCCTGCCCTCCGCCAAGCTCCAGCCAGATTCCGCCCACCCGCAGGGGTGGGGTGGTTTGGGCGGCTCGGGCATGCTCCACACTCCCGTCCACGTCCGGCAGTGGACGTGCCCGTGACGGGAGGCACAAAGCGGCGCTCAAGACGCAGGGGGCACCTAGAGGTGGCAGTTCCTCTGCTTCTCCCCAGGCCCCAGAGGACAGGGGCTGTGCCGTGCAAGTTGCACCCTGGGAAGGGTGAAGGGTGGCCCCGCTGAGGCCGGGGTTCTAGGTCCAGGCCCGCAGGCCGCCAGAGCTCTGGGCGCCGGGCGGAGCTTCCGCTGCTCAGCGGAACCCTACGGGTGCGTTCAGGGCCTCGCGCACCGTTCCACCAGAATGACCAGCACGGCCAGAGAGAGAGGGTGTTGGACGAGGAGCCGCTCAGCTTATTTTGGGAAGGAAAGGCGGACTTGGAAGGCAATTTGTGAGGATCATAAGCATTCACTTACGCTCGCTGGCGGAGTTCAGAGTCGTGTCTTGGTAGGCCTTGTAGATGTTGATGAGGGTGAAGTGGTCGCCTTCGGGATGCAGAAATGTCTTCCAGCAACCCAGGGCAGCCTCCTCCGCTCCGCGCGGCGGGTGCAGAAAGCAACTGGGGGCTAGAAGGCGCAAAACGCCACAAGGTCAGCAGTACGGGGACCAGTAAGGGGGGCGTCCCACGCCAGCACGGCACTGGGGGCAGGGGGCGCGGCGGCCCGTCTGACCGTGGGCAGTCACGTCCCCCTGCGTTGCTCAGAGATCACAAGGGGCCTAGGGGGAGTCGCCACGGTTCTCCTCCTTGGTTTGGTTGTTGGCCTCTCTTAGCTCTGCCTGTATCGCCAGCTGCGTCACGGCGGGTGTGGGGGCTGGGTGCCCTGAGGCCAGGCGCAGGGGCAGGACTGGAACACAAGTGCTAACGCAGCGCCGCCTCCGGCCTGTTCTGCCGGTCGGAGCAGAAACTGAACCGGACGGGCCGCGAGGAGCGAGGGGCAGGGAGTAAACCGGCGCACACGCGCCATCGCCGGGGCAGGGCACGTCTGGCGGCGTGTCTTCGGGTCAGTCCTGGCCTGTGCTGACTCGTCCAGCGGGGCCGGACCCGGTGCACTCTCCCGTGCCAGGAGGGTCAGGCGTTCGCTAGGGACGCCGAGGTGTCCGGCCCGAGGCCCGCGGCCCGCGTGCGGGCCGGTGTGGCGGTGAATGCGGCCCAACGCAAAGTCGTACATTTACTTAAAACGTTTTCTTTGCTCCTCGGTTTCCTGTAGTGTTTGTGTATTTAATGTGCAACCCAAGACAACTCTCCTTCTAGTGTGGCCCAGAGACATCAAAAGGTTGGACACCCCTAAGAAACTGTCACCGTTTTCTACCCTTTTCACCGATTACAACCCCACCTCAAACAGAGCTCACTGAACTCCGCGGCGCTGTGGGCGCACCGCGCAGGGCCGCGGCCCGGGGGGAGTACCTGTGACCATGGCGGCGATGGTGAGCATCTCGTCCACGCAGTCAAACTCGCAGGACGCCAGGATGGACTTGGAGAGCTGGGGGTCGAGAGGGAACTCCGACATGATGATCCCGAACTCGGACAGGTTGCCGTCGTTGTCCAGCGCCGCCAGGTAGTCCAGGTCTTCCAGGGCCTGCATCAGACTCTCCGGGGCTGGGGGAGGACAACGTCGTCAGGAAGCCTCGCACAGCCGAGGAGGAGCGACAGGCACTGAGCTGTCCCTCCCACGGGGAGCGAGGTATCTGAATCAGCAGTCTGCAAGACGAAGACTGTCGGGTGGCGAGGGGCTGACTCCGGAGTGGGGGGCACTGACGAGGTCAGCCAGGTGCCTGCCCGGCTGAAGAGTCCCGGGGCTGCGGTGCAGGGCGGGGAAGCTGAGCCCCAGAGCCGGCGCCGCGCGTCTGGGAGACCCCGGGGGCCCGGGCGGCCTACGTGGTCAGCACAGCGTGTGCACGGAACGGCTGCGGCCAGACAGGGCCGCCCGAGGAGCACACCCGTGTGCCCAGTCGGTGCTCGCTCACAGGGCTGGGGCACTGCCCGCCTCCACCCACCAGGCAGCAGGAGCTCGTGGTCCTAGGGGCCTCGGGTGGGAGACGGGAGGGAACCCCCAGACAGACGCACGCTGCTCCAGCGCTGCCCGACAGGTCCTCACGTCGGGGCTGAGAGAGTCCCTCGGCCTGGGACAAGCTCCGGCGGCGCGTGCACAGAGGTCCGGACGTCTAGTGTCCACCCAGCAGAGCACAAGGCGCAGTGTCCAGTGAGAAGTTACGAGGCGTGAGAGGCAGGACGGTAACATTAGCCAATCGGAACGGCCCCAGTGCTGCGCAGGCGACGGGAGTGGCGGACGAGGACATCAGAGAGTGACTTGCCCGGCACATGAGCACGGGGCTGGCTTTCTTCGTCGGGTACAATATGGACACTGGTGTGGTGTCTGTGATAGGCTTAATCTCCACCCAAGAAAGTCTGTTTATTATTCTCTTTTAAGTTTAAATAAATACGTGTTTTTCACCTGCCTGCTGCATGGTAGAGCAATAAAGGCCACGCGGGGAAGAAAGTCCCAGTGGAAGTCCACCCGAGACACGGGAGGGCTCTGTGAGCACCCCAGGGTGGCTGTCCCTGGGCTTACTCCCACCATGTCCCAGTGGGAGGTGGCGGCTGGGAGGTATCCCCTTTTCGCATCTGGGAGAGCAGGGTCACAGACAGTGAAAGCTGACCTATTTGCTGCCCAAACTTTGCCCACTGAACTACTCGTCAAAATTTCAGGCAAATGGTGTCACTCGCTGTCAGATGTGAGCCAGTCACCAGCTCCGGTTTGGTCAGGTCCCCCGTTCCTGTCCGGACACCAGGAACCCCCCCCCCCGCCCCGGGGAAGCCCTGCTGTGGGTCGTCGGGAGGGACTCAGACCCCGCGGTGCGGCTCGTCGCGGCTGCGGCTCTGCCGCACGGCTGCCAGCAAGAGACCCGCTCCCAGGGGTGGCCAGGCTCAGGGCCGAGGAGCCGTGGGAAGCAGCCCGCCGCGGACCTGCGGGGGCCCGGACGTCTGCTGGGGCGGCCGGAGCACGCCGTCCTCCGCCCACCGGCAGGCAGAGAAGCCCCCTCCCTGCCGTGTGGTGGTCGCTCACTGGGGCGCAGCGCTGAGCCAGCCCTGGCTCTGACCCCTGGGTCCTGGCATGGCCCCGGTGGACTCTGCGTTCCTGTGTGCTGACCCTGCAGCCAGGACGAGCCCTTGAGGAGTCACGGTCCCGGGAAGGACACGGACGGGCTCTTCGGAAACGGAGTCCGCGCACCTCACCGGGGCGCCGTGGGACGAAGGGGACTGCTGGCCGGCGGTGCAGAAGGCACGGGCGGCAGCGACGGAAATCGGCCCCTCGGGCGTGACGGCAGGCGGGCTCGGGAGCACGTGCGCAGTCACTGAAAGCTGTTCAGAAGCCGACGCCTGTGAGTCCGCAGAGCTGCTGGCCACACGGGAAGTCACGGGGTCTCTGGCAACTGCCCACGTCAGCATCTGCCCGGACAGCCAGCCTGTCCCCCGACCTCCTCCCATTTCTACGCCCTGGAGGTGAGTGAGTGGGCCGCACAGAGGACCACTGGCGGAAACAATGTCACGGTTCTGCCTCCCCGGTCCCAGCACCAGGAAAGGGGAGGCCTCTGGGCTTTACAGCCACAGAAAGAAGGACCGAGAAGGCGGCACAGACTGTATGATGACTCGGGACTTGAGAGAGCAGGGTTCCAGGTCGGCCCCAGAAAGGACAGGAAGGAAAGACTTCCCGGAGGTTCTGTTTCTCAAGGACACGCCCACAACACCGGCTGTTGCCCGGCCCCACCCCAGCGTGCTGCACGCGCCCCCGGGCACGAGCAGCCTCCCCGGAACCTCTCAGGACCCTGGGACGGAGGCAGGCACCGCCCTCCCGCTGCTGCAGGGAAGAGGGCAGTGACCTGCCAGAGCCACAGGCTGACCGCCGCCCTCAGCCGCGAAGGGAGGTCCTGACCCCGGGCCGGTCACCGGCAGTGTCTGTCCTGACCGTGGGCTGCCACGCAGCTGTCACGGACACGTCTTCTGGCTCCAAGTCCAAGGCTCCGCTTCAGCGGCCGTGGCCTCTCGGAGGTGACTGGCGCCGCCTCCCGGCGCCGCGACCGGCCTCTGCTGCTTGCAGCGGGGAAGTGCCCTCCGCAGGCCCCCTGCCACTCGGGGCCGCCAGCCCTGCGCTCCAGAGCCCGGGCGCGAGTCCCACGGCATTCCCTGTCCGCCAGGCACCCACCCTCCAGGGGCCCACGGGCGTTAACCAGTCCATCGCAACCAACGCTGCCAACGGGCCGCTCCGACTGTGCTCGTGTGCGGGCGGAACATGGAACGGGGGCTCCGAGGGGGCTGACAAGCGGGCGGGGGGGGGGGCCCGGGGTCGGAGCCCTGACCGAGCTCCAGGGCCTGAGCTGTCTGGTGCGGCCCCCTCACTTCGGGGGCACCTCTGCCCCGTTGGGCGAGGGAGGCCCAGTTCGGCCCCTGACCCCGTGCCCTTGAGCAGCGCCCCCTTCACCCGCAGGCGTCCTGGCCGCACAGTCAGTCACACGGCCACTGGGCCCACGGCGAGCCCCAGGGGGGTCGACAGCAGGAAGGCTTCCATCCTGTGCCCTTTAAATCCCCCAGATTCTGCTTCACACTCTGGAAAATTACTTCTTTGCTTTGAAGACCCTCCCACTGGCTCTTGAGTTGTTTTAGCACATTTGTGCCTCCTCTTCACACTGCCCCCTGCCGCCTGGGCATCCCACGGACTCGCGTGGCCTTCTGACAGTGACAGCGCAACCTGCATGAATCCGGAACCTGGGCCGGCCGCTGCCCGTGCGCTGGGGACACCTGCTGACCCCTTGGGCTGTGTGGCGGGCGGCCAGCCTCTCCACCCTGCTGCCGACGGCAGGGTCCGCGGCCAGGCCGTGCGTGTGGCCCACTTCCCTCCGTTCTTCTGTGAGCGCCAAAGGAGTCCGGTCACTCGTGGAGAAGTGCCCGCACTTCTCCAGCGAACCCCCAGACCGGGCTGCCAGTGTGCCAGACAGGATTCCGGGGCGCCCGGACTCGCCGGCCCGTGGGCGCTCCGGTCAAGGCCTGTGCCCGCTGTCAGCGCCGGCGGCCCAGCGACCGCAGCGTCTTGAACGCTGTCTTGGCCAGCACCCACACCAGCCTCCGCGCCCCTGCCCACTTTCTTGGGGCCTTTGTCCTGTCCTGCAGGCCACATCTGGCTGCCACCAGAACGAGCTCCGGGTCCAGGCCCAGAGAGGGCCCCTGCCGTGGTCTTGTCCAGCTCAGCCCGCTGTCCCCAGACTCCCGTGTAGGTGCCCCTGCCCGTCTGGGCGAAGGACCTCTGACCACGGCGTCTCTGTCACTCGCAGTGGAGGTCAGTCCCCAGCACTGGGGAAGAACAGTAGCTGATTTTTTAAAGAGAGATCTGTATCACAAAATTCACTGAATAGGCTGCAGCCTAGTTATGCCAAATGCGTTTCCTCACGGTTCGCGGACCCTGAAAGGGTCCGGGTTTGCCGGATCTGCGTGTTGCGGCGTCAGCTGAATCCCAGGCGGCAGCTGCAGCGTCGCCAGGGAGCTTGCGTTCCAAACAATGAGCCTGAGTCAGCCCGCTGTGAGGTCCCCCCCACACAGCAGAGCCGTCCTGTGCGCACGGTCGGGAGACAGAAACAGTGACCCTGCCCTGTGTGCCCCGGGGATCAGCTCCAGCCCCACGGAGGGCGGCCACGGAGGGGACGCGGGGACGCTGCCTCGTGGCGGTGTGCTGCCTGCGCCCCCGAGCCCTGGAGCGACCGCCTGCTTCTGCTGTCCCCTCCTGGTGGGCCTTCCCGGGGACACTGTGGCTCAGGAGGACGGCCGCTGGCCGGCAGGGTCCCCGCCGAGAATCCGCCTTTACTACTCGCTGTCGGCTCCCGCCTCCACTTCCACACTCGGCTCTCCCCCCGGACTGACCACTAGGGCCCGGGCGCCCTGCTCTCCAGTGACCACTGGCAGACGGTTCTCCAGTGCCACGGCGAACGCTCCCTGGGGGTTTCAGTCCCTTCAGGAAGCGTTTACCTCGGTAGGGAAAGTGCTTCGGCACAAACCAAATCCCCGGGCTGGCTTGCACGGCCGAGTGCAGCAGCCAGGTCTCAGCCACACACACCCCCCCACCCCACCCCCGGCACCGGGCCCGGCTGCTACCTGGTCTGTCCATGAGGTCGCAGTGGCCCAGGCCTGCGATGTCGATCCTCTTCATGAACAGCACCATGCTGGTGAGGTTGGCTTCCTGCATCTCCGCCGGCTTCAGCGGCTGCATGTCTTTGGAGGCAAACTCTTCCGAGTACAGACAGAACAGCTTTCCTGCAAGAAACCAAGGGAGACGGCTCCGGTGCCCGTGCTCCGCGGACGGAACGGACAGCAGTCGGCGTCGGGCACGCGGCGCTGCTACCTGAAGGCGAGGTGCTGAGGATCTGCTTGCGGATCTCTGCCTGGCTTCGGCTGATGGGCCGCGTGACCCGCGAGCTCGCCCTGATTCGGGGGTTGTACACCTGTAAGCGGAAAGACAGCACCTTTAGCGTCGGGTGGCCCGCGAGGTGGCCTCGGGCAGCGGTTCGCCTCACGGAGTGCTCTGCCGCAGGGTCACTCCCTTTGTGAGACACTCATTACGGCTTCACGCGCCTCGAGACGGGGACTCCAAGGGCTTGAGTAGGTGGATTTAAAGGGTGTCCGCTTTTGTTGCAGCGTCAGCAACTATGGGACCTCCACCACCTGCGGAAACACCAGCACTGTCACTCCTCCAGGGTGACACTGGCGAGTGACAGGTGCGCGGGGGCCTCGTGGACAGAAGGACTGTCACCTGGCCAAGCTGTGTCTCTTCAAGGTTCTGTTCAAACCGGCCGTGGGCGCAGTGGCCTCACCTTCTTCACGTGCACCCGCCCCCCGCGCCGGCTAAACGAAAACTGTGCACGGCACTCAGCGCCCTTCCGAGCAGGTGTCTGAGGGGTGAGTAACGACCCGGGTTCTCTGGATGCGGGGCGTGTTCAGTAAGATGCACCCAGACCGCTGCACGGGGACCTCCCCAGCGGCGAGGACCGCTCTGTGCCAGTGAGATGAGGGCCCGCAGGAGACCCGCGCTCCGGAAGGGGGAGCCCCTACACGGCATCTGACACGGCCGAGGGGCCGGGACCGCGTAGGCCCTCTTCGGCCTGTAAACGCCGTGCCGAGGGCCCCGTGTCTCAGAGAGTGAGACACCCTGCTCCATTTCCCCAATGTCTTTCTTTAAAAGTAGCTATAGAAAAATTACATTCTTTAAGAATTTAGGGTGAAATTTTATCATGTCAGTTATAAAGCCAAAATCGTCTAAAATTAAAGCCACTGTAGTGGAAACGACTTTAGAGTAAGTACCCGAGGGAAGGTGCTAGTTACTTCGATCTAGGGGCCACCGAAGACACCGAGGGTGCGTCATGGTCTGTCCCCAGAGACACCAAGGGTGCGTCATGGTCTGTCCCCAGAGACACCGAGGGTGCGTCATGGTCTGTCCCCAGAGACACCGAGGGTGCGTCATGGTCTGTCCCCAGAGACACCGAGGGTGCGTCATGGTCTGTCCCCAGAGACACCGAGGGTGCGTCATGGTCTGTCCCCAGAGACACCGAGGGTGCGTCATGGTCTGTCCCCAGAGACACCAAGGGTGCGTCACTGTCTGTCAGACGGCCTGCTTTGCTAGAGAAAAGCCACCGGTGGGAAGAACCCCCACCTAACGCTTTGACAGTTGTGTCTGTCCTCAGGCTTTCCCTCTGGCGCATCCACGACCTAATCTGTTTCCAGCCTGCTTCCCTGTGCACACGAACCAACCCTGAGATGAGACTCCCCGTGTCCTGCAGTCCACCCTCACCTTCTGCTCGGGAAAACGGCGGGGGCCCAAGAAACACTCTCGACACGACACACGTCAGCGGTCTGTTCACCCTGCGCGGGGACAGTTACCTTCCTCCGCTCCACGCCCACGTCGATCACAAACTTCACGGAGCCGCCCCAGATCAGAGCCTCCCCGGGGCTGGCGGTGAGCACCACCCTCCTCTGGCGAGCCGGGCCTCGCGCCTCCGCCTCGTCCTGCGGCTTGAACAGCGCGCACTTCTCTTTCGGATACAGAGGGACCACCCCCAGCTCGCCGAGGTCTGGGTTTAAGTTGGATCCTTCCTGGCAGACAATTTCGTAGGCTTTCTCAATATCCTACAGTAAAAAAAGAAAAATGACACCGTCCATGAGAACACGGCACATCACTAATGACTTAACAAAACAGCCCCAACGGAGTAAAACTGCAGACGAGCCGTGGAACGGACGAGCCGCGGAACAGAAGCGCGTGCGCGGCGAGGGAGACGCCGGTGTGATGTGAGCGTTGGTACGTGTGAGGAGGACACGGGACCGGAGGAGGACGTCTCGCTCGGGAAGGTCACTCAGAAGCACTCCCTCCCGCTGCTCTAGTCCAAGACTGTGCTCCTCCGGGAGCGGTGCTGCCTCGGCCCCCGTGCATCATGGCCCCTGCTTTTCCAGCGGACAGAGATGTGACTGATTGTCCTCCCGTCAGGGAAGACAGAGGCCCGGCCTTGCTGGTGGCAGAGCCACGAGCTACAAACCGCTCTCCTGCAGACTCCGCCCCCGCAGCTGCACACACACCTTCCAGCGCGGCCAGGGCCCCCGGCTGCGCTTCAGAACCACGGGAACGCACGCAGCGAAGCCAGCGGGAGGGAGGCCTGTCCTGTCCATGCACGTGGCTACTCGGGCCTCGGACACGCCCCTTTGAAGTGCCCCACTGCCCAGTGGCCCCGGGGACAGGGGACCGTCTGCCCTGAAGCTACACAGAAGACACGGTGCGAAAGGCTCAAAGGGCATTTACAGAGTGTCTTTGTGTTTCTCCGATCAGTAGGTTTTTAGAACCTCGTGTAAAAAAAGATGTCACGTAATAAAATTCTCATGCCTTTTATTTCCAAACTGTCTGCCTTCTTAGGGCCTCGCTAACGAGCAACATGGAAGGAGCCCCATTTCATTAGATTCACTAGATTTCACTAAAAATCTCTGTAAGAAAGACTTCCCTGACTGGGAGTCGCCAGGACCGATTCCATCCCACAGTGCTGAGCTCACCAACTCCCTCCGTACTGTTGGGGAACGGACCGAATTAACCAGGGGTTTTGCAGGAAGACAGGTTCTGCCTAGAAAGACGGCCAGGGGTCCCAGGGGTCCCAGGTGCCCGGGGCCGAGCCCTTGGGAAGCCCCTCTCGGGCAGGCGCCCGGGGCCGTGCCGCCCCGGTCTGCACACGCTGGTTTCCGCCGGGCAGGTTTTCCCCGAGAAAACAGCTTGCTTGTTGCTCAGAACAGATGAAAACTTGTCGAATGGAATAGTCAGAACAAAACCGTCTCCATTTCTGTAGTCTGATCACGTCACCATTTTTACGAGAAGGACAGTCGGTGCATTTCTCTGCCGCGGCGTGCACTGGTCTCCACACGGCAGTACGCGGCTGTTTTCAAGTTCTGTGCAGAAATCACAAGAAAGCTTCCAACAAGATGGGGACGGATGACCCACAGCTGTTAGCGTGGACTGCAGAGCACGACGATTTTTTTCGAGAGAGATTCCAAGGCCACGGCACAGGGGTGTCGCGGTGGCACTCCTGACGTGAGTGGGGGAAAGACAGACAGCTCCACCGGGACACCAGACCGTGCTCGGCTTCTGGGAGGCAGGCGCCGGAGAGAAAGCCGGGTAACAGCCACGGAGTTTGGGGCTGAGCTGTGAGGACGAAACTGGTTTCCAAAAAAGGCAAGCTGAAGGCGCGGTGGGGGGTCCCCATTAGCCTCGGGGCCGAGAGCACCCCCCACCCAGAGGCGCAGAATCGCCAAGGCCGCCCAGAGCCTCCGCCCGCTGTCCCTTCGGGATCTGAAGACTCGGCAGGACCGGCGACTTCCCAACAGGAGTGCCCTTCTGGTCCGACCCGGATGCTCTCTCTCTCGCTCCCCACACCCGTGATGTCACTGCTGCTGTTGCCGGCCTAGGGAAACACGCACCAGCTCAAGTCCGACATTCGTAAGTCACTGTGCCGTGAGTCACAGCTCACGTTCAACTTGGAGTCCAGCACTCTGAGACCACCCACTACCCCGATTCTGCTGCAGGGTCTACTTTCCAAACACCCATTTGCTTTCTCTGACTTGAAAGCTGACTATTCGTCCATCTTAATTATACTCACCGCCCCCCCCACCCCGGCCCCCCGCTGAAATCAGCGTGGCCTTTTCCCCGGCAACTCCAGCATCTGGCCTGTACCTGCGCCTTCCTTCCTTCTCGGGTGTCTGCTGCACCGACAACCTGTCCTTGCTTTTGTAAATTCTCCCGTCTCCTCGGTCACTGTGTGCCTCTCCAGAGGGCTTCCTGGAAGACCCTGAGCCGTGCGAGACCAGGGCACGGTAACAGAGTACATCCTGGCGCAGGCGGAGGACTCGCTACTCGGGAGACCGAACAGTCCGCAGTCACCGTGTATCTGACGCTCTAAGCAGCCGTCTTCACGGAGACAGGTCAACCCGAGTCGGGTCGTGAGAGAGCCGTCCGGCGCTCCCGGGGCCGGGGGTGGGGGGAGGGGCAGCCGCCCTCTGCGATCCTGGAGAGCCACGCGACAGAAGGAGCGCCTAGCGGTGCTGCTGGAGCAGCGGCCGCCGGGAGGAGCCTGGCAGGGAGCAGCCCTCGGCATCTCTGTCCAGCTGGCGGCCCCCCGCCGCCGGCACCGGACAGCGTCCTCGCGGGTTTCTGCTCGGCCACCGGGTCGCTCCCCGTCTGGGTCCGGGTCTGAAACCAGCGCTCAGTCTCAGGGTGGGGGAGACGACGGGCGGGGAGACAACGACCGGGACGACCAGGACGTGGGTCTGTGGGGTGAGGGCCCGACTGCGGACACGCCCACGCCGGGGCCTCCGGTGCGGAGGGGCCCGACAGAGAGCACGCGTCCCCAGCAGGCGCCTGGTGGTGGGAAAGCCCCGAGAGGCTCGGTTGTGCACTCCCCGCCGTTTTCTTGAGGAGACATTCTCAAGAACCCAAGTTCGATTTTTCTCCGTCTTAGGAAAAGGAGCGCCGGTGTCAGGAGACCGTGCCCTGGGTGGGCCAGAAACGGCCCTTCTGTGCACAGCCCTCCCCAGACTTTCGCAGGGACGCTCGTGGGGCCGTGTCTGCCTGCCGACTCGGTGCCGCATACATACAGAGGTCACACTCCTCGCTGCGCCACGTGCTCCCGGCCACGTGCTCCAGCCGTGGCAGAGGTGGCTGAGGGTGCGACAGGCGTCAGCGTGTGTCTGCTCAGCTGAGGCGCGTCGTGGCAGGCAGGGCCAGCAGCAGCAGCTGGCCCTGGGGCAGCCCGCCACGGCCCTGAGCCGGAGGGAGGGGCCCTGGGATATTCGCCGTGGCCTCGCCCGCTCCCCGTGTTCAGGGCAGCACGTGATTTGGGAAACGCTCTGCCCCTTTGGCTCGGGTGTATTTACCCATGTTTCCTCCACAGTGCGAAACGGAGGTGTGGCGGAACCAAACATTTACAGTTCATCGGCGAACGGGAACCTGCATGTTAGTCGTGAAAAGCAGCGTCCCCACAAGGTTAAAAGGTTTCCAGTACGTAACCTTGTCACTGTTAGGTGAGACCAGCACTTACTTGTTCGCAGGCCAGAAAGACTGCGATGTCACCCTTCTCGCCAGAGCGGTGAATCTCAAAGACAAGGCGCAGAACAGGCTCCAGGGCCTCCCTCTGGGCCCGGCCACCGAGGTGCACGACCTCCACTGGGTGCCCGTCAGGCACCTCGATGACAGGCGCGCCTCCGTAGTAGGAGCCGAGCCTGCCGACCAGTAGCGGCGAGGCGTTAATCACGAGTTTCAGCTCCGGTCTGGCCAGCAGAACGTCTTTAAGCAGTGCCAGCAGGACGTCGGTGGCCACGCTCCTTTCGTGCACGTCGTCCAGGACGACGACCCCGTAGCTGCTGAGGAAGGGGCTGGACATCATTTCCCGCTGCAGCATGCCGTCGGTGCAGTACCTGCAGGGGGGACGCTGAGGTTAGCGCGCCACGGGAGAGGTCACCCCGGAGACCCCCAAGGACAGCAGAAGCGCCTCCCTCTGTCCTTTCCTCTAAGTCGGGGTTCTGCGTCTTTACTGGGGCCACGACTCCTCGAGGCTGATAAACTCTACAGGCCTTCAGAACTGCAGAATACACATGAGCAAGGTTTCAAGTTTACGGAGAGAGCCCTAGAGACCCCTCTGAGCCCCGGGCCGCCGAGCTCTGCCTCTGTGCTGACCGCGGGCGCTATGACGAGGGGTCAGAGGCCGTTACCATCTGCTCCGGGCGTCTGCAGCCAAGCCGGGTCGCAGGACGCCCTCGGCCGGGGAGCGCTTCCCCGTCTCCCGTGGGTGGGAGGGCACTGAGCCAAAGGGTGCACTGCCCAAGGAGGGAGACGAGGGGGATGACTCTGGTTCACGCGCACGGCCCCGCCAGCCCACAGCGACGCCGTTGGTGACGTTGTGGGGAAAGGTGTCACCAACACGTTAGTGGCACAGGTTCGGAATGTTGCCCAAACAGTGACCAATCAAAAGCATCGAAAACATGATCTCCTATTCAAGGGCGGCACGCAGATGGGCCAGTGATGTCAATAAAATTGTCCAGGAATCTTGGGATTATAATTTTTAAAGTATTATTTATTACTAAGAATAATTTATTATCGTTAGCCATCTAACGCCACACGAACATGTGCCGCTGCTTACATGTTTACCTACACGTTCCTCGAAGAAACCGATCCTGCGACTTTTCTGCCCATGTAAGGTGTCCATGTACATACACGGCAGGCCCGCCTGCCAGGCTGGCCCCACTGGGATTTGGGAACTGGGATTTGGCGGGGGGCGCGGGGGGGGCGGTCCTCCCCACGTGCAGGACTGATCAACACTGGCTCCTGCTGTTTCCTCTCCGTTCCGACAACGTGGTGCGCCCGGCCTGCCTTTGGGGGCTACAATGTCGGGGCACGGGACACAGAGGCGCCTGCCTGTGTGACCACCCCTAGTACCCAGCCCCCCACGCAGGGGGTCTCCCGTCAGTGTTCCTGTGGGACCCCACGTGCGTGCGCGCTCTCCCGACTCACTGCTGGGGACCGGGCGCGTCCGGGTTGACTCCGAGGGAGAGGCAGCCACCCCGCGCACGCCCCTCCGCTGGCTGCTCTGTGCCTTCCCTGTGGCGACTCTGAGCTGGGGGGCCCCTGGCCTGGGCCTCGATCGACCCCTTTCCAGAGAGAAACAGAGGGAAGGACATGGCCATGGGCTGAGCCCCCAGCGTGCGCCGGGCTCTGTGCCGGGCGGCACTCCTCACTCAGCCTTTGGAGCGCGTCACCCAGCTGGACTTCCTGCCCCGAGCGGGGGGTCGGGGGTGGGGGACGACCGAGGTCCAGACGGGCCAGGCGCCCCCTCCCTGGCCGCATCACCGCGCTCGGGAGAGCCCAGACTGACAGCTGCGCATCCGCTCCCTCTGTGCCAGAGACCGCTTCCTTGGTCCCCACGGTCAGACGGCCAAGTCCAAGCGCTCCCTCTGGGCAGCACAGGGGACCGAGATGTTGGCCGCTGCCTTTCTCTTCACGCGCGTCGTCCTCGTCCTGTGTCTCATGTTCTCATCCTGCGTCTCAGCAACGCGCGGGGACAGGCTGACCCTCCCTTCTCTCCAGCATAAAGACACACGCTCCGAACACTGCAACGTTCATTACACTTCGTGCACGATGCAGAGAGCGATGCGTCCGAAACCTGGCTTTCCTGCTCGTCTTTAGCTGATGTTAGTTAGTGTGCTATGGTGAGATAAATGACTGCTGCCTCTTGTCGACAAATTATTCTAACCTATGGCACTTCCTTCCTGTTCCAAATTAAATCTCTATTACCGCCTCAGCAAAGCTCGCCCTGCACGGACCTCACGGGGAGGAAGGAGTGTGCCCCGCCGGCTGGGGAGGCCTGTGTGTTATGTAAACGGGTCCGGCTGCATTAAGAAGGGAGGAGGTGGCGCCCCAGTTAAAACTGCTGGGTGGCTGCAGGCACGGGGCAGGCAGGGCCTCTCCGAGGGCGGTGCAATACTGAGGGTGTGCCACGCGGAGGCTCAGGCCCAGGCCCAGGCCCACCGCTCAAATTCCCCACGCACCGCAGGGGCCCGCCCCTCCCTTCACGCCAGTAAGACCACGTGTGTGCAGTGCCTGAGAAAGCGCTGCTGCCGGCACCGGGGTTAAAAAAAGACAGATGCGCTGGCCAGGCGCCAGGAAACGCAGTTTAAATTTTAAATTCCGAATACTAAGTTTCTGAGAGGTAAGAATATAGAGAAGTTCTATTGATATTTTCTAAAGTTATACGTATTGAATTTGACTGTGAATAAACATCTGAGTAATTCTTTTAAAATCTGTCTTCCAGAGGGTCTGTACGTGAAGTCTGTGTCACTTCTGCGAGTCTTGACATCCCGCGGAGAGAGACTGCTGTAGGTATATGACATTCCGGTGTCCGCTGTTTCAGAAAAGGCCGGACAAAAGCTTCAAGACGAACAAAGCTGTTGTCTGTGGCATTGACGGGAGGCAGCAGGCGTAGGGGTCACAGTCACTGAGTGCCTGGCAGACGAGACGCTAGCGGGTGACAGAGAAAACGGAAACGACCGTAGCGACCGCAGGACGGAGGTGAGAGCACAGCGTGAAGACGCGGCTCTGAAGTGCCGCGACGAGGGCCGATGTCACCGGGGAGGCCTGCCTGCAGTGGGCAGCCCGCGCGTGGATGGGAAGGAGTTCGCCAAGCCCGGGGGCGGGCGGGCCCGGCCAGCAGAGGGAATGGCGCGTGTGCCAGGCCCGCGCGCACTAGGGCGGCGCACAGCCAGCCCGTGTGGGGCCCTCCTGCGCGAGGGGCCGGGCAAGCACGGGCCTGCGGGTCGCTGGGGGCCAAGCCGAGGAGCCGCAGCCTCTCCCGAGCACCCCGGGGAGTCCCGGCGGAGGAGGTGCAGACAGGGGTCCCGGCGGAGGCCTGTCGGGCTGGCGACACAGACCAGCCGTCACCGCCCGCCACGGGTGCTGCCCGCACAGAACGCCGGGGACCGCAACACCCACGCCGAGGGCCCGTCGTCCGTCGGGCAGCGCCGCGGGGACCCCAGACCCACCTCAGGATCGTCTCGCTGGCGCAGCAGTTCTCGAAAGGGACCACGTAGCCGACTTCGTGACCGATGTTCACGTCCATCTCGTCCGCCACGCGCAGGGCCAGCTGGACCGCCGTCTGCTGGTGCGCCTGGGTGCACACCACGCCCCCGTGCTCGTAGTGGACGGATAGGCAGTACTCGGCACACCACTGGGGGACCTTCGACAGGGGACAGGGGACAGGAGACACGGTCAGCTGCGGCCAGGCTGGTCTTCCCCGGGGTTCCCTCGGCCCGGGGGTCGCGGTGGGCGGCCTCACACCCCCGTGAGTGGAGCTGGGAGCCACCCGAGTTCCTGCAGCGTTGTCACTCGTGAGTGAGGCAGAGGCGGGGACTTCAGAGCTTGGCTCCCAGAGGAAAGAAAGGAAGACAGATAAACACAAAAAGCACAATAAAAATATTTTTAACCTCGGCTGTTTCTGAGAAGAGGAACCTATTTACAAACTGTTTCTTTCTGCTTACAAGAAAGCTCCGTCAAAAATACAGCTGGTCGTGTCGGCTACCGGGTTCCAAGCGATGCAGACATTAGATGGCGTTCAGACGAGAAACAGGCTCAGAACTGAAGCGTTTACATTTCGGTCTAAACGCTCGCACTAAAGCCACCAGACAAACGTCCTGAACACGCCCCGGTGGTGCTAACGCACACACGCCGGCACTGGCCACCCCAGCACGAAGGGGACGGCCACCAGCCAGCCCGTCCAGGGCTGGACAGGGCGGTGTCCAGGCTGCTCCGAGGCCATTCACTGTCCGAGTTCTCAGGCGGACCGTGTGTGACATTTCCACAGCTGACTCTATGGAGTCCACTGGTGCAGGAACCACTGAGTTCACTCAAGTGCTACAGTCCTAACGGGATACCGTCAGTAACTTCTGCTTTGTTACGTGAATGTTAACTTAATCGTTCCAAGAGTGGTTTTTGATAAATTTAAAGTATTTAAGCTTTAATACTTAGTTATCTTGATATTTGCTATCTTCTAGGCCCATCATGGAATTCCTAGCTTTTAATCCCCACAGTGGTTTGAAAAATAAACGCAACTTAGAAATCATATGCAGCCCACCTGTTCCCTGACTGACCGTGCGGGTGCAGTTCCAACACCTGCAGCAAGGTGGCAGCCTTGTCAACAGGTTGGAACTAATCCGTAACAGGTAGGGTGCCCACTCCTTCTCTGAAAGGTGGACATTTAAGATCCTGTGCTCAGGACACCTGGGACCTAATTGAGGTCGACACAGGACACAGCGAGGCGCCCCCGGGGCCCCAGGCAGGCAGGAGTTCTAGGCCCGGCCTGCCGGCAGTCCGCCACCTGGGGTCACGACTGCTGGAAGCCTCAGTTTCCTTCCCTGTAAAAGGGGTTGGACGGATGGGCATTGCCCTTCCAGCCTGAGCTCCTGGGTCACTTTCTCCCAGGCCTGCCGTGACCCCCTGGGCAGGAGACCCCTGGGGACCACACTTCCTGCACTTGCTGGGCTGTCTTGGGCGCCACCCCCCCCCCCCGTGGGACCAGGCGCTGCGGGAGAACAGAGGCCACTTCGTCGGAGCCACGGGGTAACCCAGGACTCAGGGCGTGTCTGCGGCATGAGCGCACCGACTTCCCACGCTTCCCTCGCACAGTCTCAGGTTCCGCGGCGCCATGTGCTCCGCCTTGGACCCCTGCACCGTCTCCAGACCGCCCACCTGGGAGCCACCTGAGATCCTCCGTCCTCCTCGTCCCCTCGCAAGTCAGTTTCTATGCCTCCAAACCCCTACTTTTAACTGACCCCCTCCTGTACACGCCCGCTGTGGAGGGTCCCCAGCCAAGACCTCAGACACCATCCTCGTGGAAGACTGCATTCAAGTCATCGGTTCGAGTCTCTGTCGTCTCTCCACCAGGCTGGGGCACGCCTGGGCTGCACAGGCATGCTTCCCACCTGCCTCCAGCGCTTCACAGAGGGCGCGGCCATGGGCAATAAATGTCTGGGTGGGTGAGGACATCCCGGGCTCGGGGCTTAACGGGGAGAGAAGCAACAGACCCGAGCGACCTGACCACAAGGAAGAAAGAGCAGCGCCCACCAGCAGACCCTTTATGCTTCAGAAGAAACAAATGTGCCAAGATGTCTAACTTCAGATACAGGGGCAATGGCGTCATTAATGACAAGAAAGGGGGAAGCAGTGACTGTTAAGGTCATCGTGACCTTGACAGGTGGATGTCAAGGTGTAGCGATCCTGGGAGCGACTGAGAAGCTGGCCAGGGGCCGGAGGGAGGGGCCGGAGCTGGAGGCGGGCAGAGGAGGCCCTGGGGAGGAAGGCAGGGGGGCCCCACCCTCACCTCCATGGGAGGAGCCTCGGGAGGGAGTCGGAGAGAAACCGGCCCGGCCAGGGCGGACCCAAGCTTGCCCGTGTGTCACCGCGGGGCCTGCAAGCCAGTTCCACAAAGGCGGTCAGGTAAGCCCAGGGACGCTGAGCAGTCCACAGTGCGATGACTCTGTCTGACCCGGTGGCCTGTCGGGGGACAATCCAGGGACCATTGCTGCTGTCTGGCGTGGCGAGGACTGTCACCGAAGTAGACCGTCCGGTTTCACCAGCATGCTCGCGTGCGCTGGGTCTGGCTGCCACTCTGACGTCCGGGGCAGCAGCTTGCAAACTGCACGGCTCTACACGGGCGTGGCGATCACAGGCCACGTCCCCATGCTTCTGGCTGTGGTTTCCAGCTGCGGTTCTCGAGGCCCAATCTACTCCCGCAAGCGGATTTTGCAAGATTAGACCGTCACAGTGTGTTTACAGTGGTGCGCCCATCCCTGAGGCCCGGCAGTGCGGTACCCGCGCCAGCCCGGCAGTCTCCATTTTCCCCGCACCCTCCTCCCCGAGAGAGCACGTGACTTCTTCACGTCCGTCCGAGGCGGAGAAATGAACTCGGGGCAGGAGCGGCCCTTCTAACTGTCGGCTAAGATATCGGCGGCAGACGGAACCTGCACACGTTGTACTTAGTGCAGGGTGTTCGCCGGACTGCCAACGGCCAGGCAAACAGCTGTGCACAAGTCCCAGCTAACTGCGGGGAAATGGGGCCCAGCCACACCCAACGCACCGCCCATCGGACACAGCTGCAGGAGGACGCTCACAGTGCAAAAGTGCAAGTGCACGTGGAAGAGCTGCTCTTCGCAGCCACCTGCCCCCGCCGCTGCCGTCCGCGGCGCCGGCAGACCTCCGTCACTCTGCACAACCCCAGGTCCGCGGCGGCGTGCTGCCCGGGCCGCTCAGAGCACCGGCTGAAAAACAGTGCGTGGTTCAGCAGATGCCGGGAGTGTGAGCGTCCCCTCGATTCCAGGGGCAAGACGGACAGTGGCACCGGGGGCCGCTGTGCTCTCTCCACTCGTAACAAAGTCGGTGCCGTTCTGGGCCCCACCTCCGAGTCTGCTCTGGGAGCAGCTGCTTCTGTGTCCCCGGGGCACCTGGTGCTCCTCGCCAACCACGAAGTGTGTGCCCGTGAGGCTCCCCTTTCCCCTCTGTAGCTCCCCTCGGAGGAACCCCCCCACGTGGCCCCAGCACGAGGGAAACGTGCTGAGTCGGCTCCGTGAGCGCAGGGAAGCCTCAGCGCACGCACTGCTGTAGGGGCCGGAGAGAAACGCCGGGTCTGGGCCGCTTCGGCTGGGGCTCAAACACGCTCAGTGCTTCGCAAAAGTCGCACCACTTGGTGGGGAAGAAAGGAAACTGCCGTTTTACCACACGCAAAAGTAAGCCTATTCACAAAGCGATCTACCTGAGAGTTTTGGTGATAGGCACCCAAAGATTCAGGGCCCAGCAGAAGCAAAGCCTGCATGAGTGTGGTGGGCAGGTTAATGATAAGGGTGTAATAACTTCTAGTTTTAACTGGAACATCTCACCTAAAATGCCCTACAGCGTGCTTAAGTGTGACAGTGTTAGGTTACAGAATTCCATGCTCATGATGTTGTGATAAAAGCTTTTATGATAAAGGAGGGGCGTTATTTGTGCCACACACATCCGTATTTGGTCGAGAAACTCTCCCTCCCAGAAATCACGGCTCCGAACGCCTCACTCCGAACTCACCTGACAACCTTTCCACCTTCTCCCAGTCCCCATGCTCCGTGCCGTTCTCTGGACCGCAGGCTGCCAGGAGGGTCAGGCCTGGGCTGTGGGGCCACGTGGCCTGTGGCCGGGGTGGGTTGGGAGGGGCTGCGGGAGCATGCAGCCTGGCTCCGGCAGAAAGCGAGCGGCTCGACTCTGGCCAGCTGCCGCGGAGGCAGGGCTCGGAGAAGTGCTCCGGGCGACCAGCACCTCATCTACTTCAAGGCCTTACCGGCTCCGCTAACTGGAGTTCTACGAGTGGTGCGCACTTGGAAAGCCAGGCAGAGCGCTCCACAGCCAACTCCAGATGACGGCGGCGGGGACATGAGGGTCTCAGCGCTGCCGCCACCGTGGGAGAGGACACCCACACGAGGGACACTCCCTCCCACCACCAGGGAGTCCGCCTCACCTGGTGGATTTCTGAGTGAGCCACTGAGACACCGGCTGCTGCTGCCCGCAGACAGGACTGTTGCCCACCCTGTACGTAATCGGTGCCCTCAGAAACCACAAGTTCTGAAAGAAAACTCAGGGAGCATAGGTTTAAAAACTCCGGCAGTCGTGTCGGCAAGCGACCCTGAAGCTGCACCGTGGATATGCCCAGACTGAACCGGCAACCGGGAGAATAGGGAGCCGGGCTCCTCCCTGGGAGAGACGGGAGCCCCAGACGGGGCCGCCCGAGGGAGCCCGGTAGTGCCGAGTGGGGTCAGGCGACAGCGTGACCTAGCGGCGTGAACGGCGGGCACCGATGGCAGCAACAGAGACAGCAGGGAAATGCACAGACGGGGGGCTGGGGGAGGGGGACAGATGGTTTGGAAAGAACACGGTAAAAAAGAAAGACACAGAGAGAAAGAAATGCACACAGCGAAGGAGAGAGACGCAGAGACAGACACAGCGACGTGCGCACACATGTTCACTTCCCCTCCGTCCCCCGGGAGGGCCGGGAGCAAGATGACCAGCAGCAATGGGCGTGCGCAGCCCCCAGACCTTGGTTACGAAACGCAACTCTCCACCGAGAGGAATCGGCTCCTTGGTCGGAAAGGCCGTTTCCAAGACTGGAAGCGGGAAGCTGCAGGACGAGGCCGCAACAGGTTACTGGGCCGGAAAGCAGAGCAGTGTCCAAAGGGAACGACGGGACGGCACAGAAAGACGCAGAAGTCAGCCGTCCCGCAGGGGTTCCCACTGGCCACGTCGGGCGGCCCGAGCAGCGACACAAACGGGCTCCACACGAAACAAGGACCTGCGAGCCGACGCCGACCTCCACGAGTGGACACCCACGCAGAAGAGACACGGCTCGGAGCAGAGTCCCCGCGTCAAACGGAGCAGGAGTGTCAGAACGGGGAACCCACCACTCGGCTGCCCCAGTGCGGCAACGTCGGAGATAAGGAGCACTCACGGGGGCCAAGCCCCGCAGGGCGAGGGTGACGAGAAACACGTCCGAGTCTCCAAGCATCTCCCCAGGACTTTTAAATAATGGGGGTGTTACGGGGAGGGGGGGGACCAGGACCACACTGCAAAGAACAAGGGAGTCGCGGCCCTGCCAGGCAACTAGTGTAACATCGCCGCCGGTCGTGGGACAAAGCCTGGAGTGATGCCCCAGGAGGCCGCCACGGCCACTGTGCCCATCCCACCCGCCACGCACAGCGGGCGCCTCCGGACATGTCCCGCCGACTCACGTGGGGGGGGGTGCTGCACCAAACACTGACCCGACCGTGCTCTGCACAAACGTCAAGGTCACGCGGCACCAGGAAACACTGAGGCGCTGTTTCAGACAAAAGGTGATTCGGGAGAAATGACACTTAACAGCAATGTAAGTGTGGATCGGATTCTGGACGAGAAAAATGTTATTTTCATCACGAGGGCCATCAGTGGGAAACGGATGGAGTTTGGATGTCTGTAAATTGGGTAATAATGAGACGTCAGTGTCACCTCCCTGATGTTGGTAATTCCATCGTGGCCGGGTCCAGTTTCCAGTAAATATTCGATGAAGCATTCGGAGGCCAAGGACATCATATCCTCAACCTACTTTTAAAAGACTCAGAATAAAAATACGTGTGTGCACGTGTTCACATGTGTGCTGGCTGGCATTCATGCGTGTGCACATGTTCAGGTGTGCGTGCATGCGGGACTTCGTGTGTACTTGTGCTGACATTTGGGCGTGCACGTGCGTCAGTGCTCATGCGCACACATGTGCATATGTGCCGGTACTCGCGTGCGTGCATGCGTTGGTGTTTGTGCACACACGTGCTGTCATTTGTGCACGTGTGTGCTGGCACGTGTATGGAGGGAATGGTGAAGCAGGAGTGATGAAATGTCAACACCTGGGGTATCTGGGTGAACCATCCGTGGCAAATCTTTGCATTACTTTTGTGACTTTTTTTATCCTCACCCAAGAGGACTTGCTCGTTGATTTCGCGTGGGGAGCGCGACAGAAACACTGACGTGAGGGAGAAACATCGACCCGCTGCCTCTTGCAAGCCCCCCGTTGGGGACTGGACCCGCAGCCCAGGCGTGCGCCCTGATCAGGACCTGCTGGTTCACGGACAACGCTCCGACCAACCGAGCCACACCAGCCAGGGCGCTTTTGTAAGTGGAAAATTATTGCGAAATAAAAATGTTCATGATCTCAAACTTAGCATTTGTTCGCAGAAACCAGGCAAATATATTCATTCAGTTTTCACCATGGGATGCTTACGGCCAACCAAAATAATTCGTTTTCACAGTAACCCATCACGCCAAATAGCAAATCATAGTGAACCCTCGGTGCTGGCAACTATAAATAAGATTACAGAACAAACCACCTGTTGTCCGTCCCTCCTCTCTCCAAGTCCTGTTTAAACGAGGAAGCCTCGGAGTAACACACAGCTGGGGGGAGAGCGGCGACGTACAGTGACGTACAGTGAAAAGCGTTCTTAGGTTCCGGCTCAGAGGGCCATTTGTGCTAATCAGACAAATGAGCACAGCCCCCCCCGGAGCCCCGCCTCATGCTCCGCAAAGGGAAGGGTTCCCGCCACATCCCCCCCGTGGTCCGCTCTAATTCTCACATCACCCGGACTGAGAAATGGACTTCATAATAGAAATACTGCTTGCTTTACAACTAAGAGTAAAGTATATATTTCACTAACATCAAAACCCCAAGCCCAAGCGCAACAACAACACCCCAGACAATAAATACCCATGGACGATCTACCCTAGACTAGTTCTTCCCTCCTTAGAAGCCCCCGAAATGTGTGGCTCTGGGCCTGGGCCATAATCCGGCCGCTCGGCTATGTCTCATAGTCAGAACAATAAGAATGTCCTTGCGCTTTTGAATTTCTGCCGCTCACCGGGCTTTACCAACCAGCACAGCCGAGCACCTGGAGTATCAGACGGCTGGGCACGTGAACCCGGCGGTTGAACCCTCAAAGCTGTTGTGGGCAGGACCCGTGTATCACGTCATTTACAGTATCATGTGCACGAGGAGATGATGTAAGTGGATTTCTGCGGCCGTCCTAGAGAGAGTTCGGTGGTACGCTCCCCACAGTGAACACCCCCACAAGTATTAACTGTTACTCCGTCGGCTTGAATGTATAAAATCAGGTCACCTAATGTCGCTATTTTGTTTTGCTTTTTGAGTATCGCTGCTAAAACAGGACACTGCGCTGGCGCTGGGATTACTCAGGCAGCAAAGCCCACCACACCAAGCACGCGGGGTCTCCGCGGGGGCCACTCACCTGCGAGCTCTTGCCGCACCGGGCGCCCCCGGACACGATGACCACCTGGCTCTGGAGCAGCCCCTCCATGAAGGAGTACTTCTCGGTCCATATGGGCAGGGCCTCCCGCTCCTTCAGGAGCTTGTAGTAGCGCGACGAGTACGGCAGCCCGTCGAACGGGTTCAGCTCCAGGTCCTCACAGGCCAACAGCCCCTCCGCATCTCCATCGTCATCGTCGTCGTCGTCGTCGTCGCTGGACCCCAGGGACCCGGGACGCGAGCACTTCTCGGAGGGCGAGTCCGGGAAGGGCAGCTCCTGCTCCTCCTCCTCCTCCATCTCGCCTACGGGGAGCTCAGGCAGCGGGCATCCCCGCCCGGGCGGCGGCGCAGCCCCGGGTCCCCGACAGCGTCCTCTGCCCCGGCCTCGCGGTCGCCGACGCCAGCTCCGCCTGGCGGTGCAGGGCTTGGGTGGCAGCCGAGGTCCCCCAGCCGGCTCTCCCGTCCGCCGGTCCCCCGGGCGGCTCGCTGTCAGAGGCGTCGAGACCTCGCTGAAAACAAACACACGGACACGGGAAATCGGGCGGGCACGCGGCACTCACGGGAAGGGACACCCCCACCCGAGCCCACAGCCCTGATTCCCGGCTGCTGGCCACCCGCCACCGCCCGCTTAACGACCAGGGAAGACGGGACCCCGTCAGCTGTCCCGGGCGCCGGGCGGTGCGGACAGGCATCCGTGCGGGCCCTGCTCTCTGCCCGACCCCGCGCGGCCGGAGTCCCGACCCACAGCCGACGGACAGCAGCCGGACAGGGGGATGGAGGCCCCACCGCGTGGTTGCTGGTCCCACCACTGAAGAGACGCTGGCCCCCTCAAGGGGAGGGTTCGAGGGCCTGGTGAGAGCCCCCAACGCTGACCCCCAAGGGAAGCCTATTGTTGCTGTTTTTTTTTTAACTAAAAATCCTCGAGTTTACAGGGAATGTTTTCTAAAAACGTCACCCTGCATTTATTTGCTCGTGCCGGTTTACGACGGCAAGCGAGGGGAGTGAACCGTTCCTTTCCCACCTGAGGCCACCACGGGTGCTTACTGAGGTCCCCTGTTGGCGGGATAAAGCCGGGAACCGCAGGCACGTTCTGGGGGACCGCAGGGTTTGGGGCCCGACCCGTCGTCAGGTTCAAGAGGCGGCAGGGGACACAGTTAGTTGAAGCGGAGGAGAGAAATTACCTGGGAAGGGCAGAGCGGACGGCAGAGCCCCGCCCCCTCGGGGCCAGGTGAGGGGCCTTCTCCCCTTCCGAGGGCCAGCCAGGTGTAACATCCAGTCACCCGGCCGGAAACGGGCCCCTTGCGCAGTAACCAGGTGAGACTAAGGAGAGAAAACCTTGGGTGAAAACACAAACAAACAAATGCTAAAATACAGTTCATGATATTTTGTCACTCAAGTCGCTCCTTTTTCGGCGCCCCTCCTATCGTAACTAAGGCTTCAGGTCGTTGGCATGAATGGCTCAGCGGGCCAGCTCCTCATCACAATGCAAGGTGCTCCGCTGGCCCGGCCGGGCGCCAGGGGGCGGTCGGTCCCCGGGAGACCCGCGCTGAGGGCCTCTCAGGGCCCGGGTGAATAAACCAGCCCCCCCCTCCACACACACACAAGCCCACCCTGAAAGTAGGGCCAAGAGCAGGACAGAATGTTTAAAAGCCCGCCCAGGGCGGTATGGGAGAAACACCCTAAAACAGACCGACAGGTGTAGCTCCTTCATAGAGAGACACATTTACAAACTTTGAAAAACATAGTTGTGAGTAAAAAGGAGAAAACTGTATTGGAACAATGATTAAAATAAAATAAAAAAGAAAACACATAGGAAAAAAAAGATAAACACAGTTGTGATCACCTACACGGAGTCAGTGAAATATTTAATATGAAACTTTATCTCCCAAGCATGTTACCCTTCAGTTATACTTTAACTGAAACAATGGGCTTATCATTACCGGAACTTTTAGAAGGTTACCTTTTTGCTTGCCTTCGTTTTAATTGGTCCAGAGCTCCCAAAAGCACATTTTATTTGGTTTCTAGTGCCTGCTCAAAACCCTTCTTTAACAGATAAAAACTCAGACTTTATTTTAAAAACTTTTCTAGACTTCTAACAAGCTGACATGGTTTCATTTTTAAGTAAACAAATTGAATATTAAGTGGCTTTTTAAAAAACTTTCAAGTAAAAACTTTGCTTTTAACTCATTGGTTCATTCCAAATGCAGCTTGTGTAATCAACTAATTGTTTTAGAATCGTGGACTCTAGGGTGATGTACAATTTCAGACTTACACACAGGAAGACTCCCCTCGCCCAGCCAGACGACAGCACGCCAGGCCCTCCACGTAAGTTTACAAATCAAGTGTTTGTTTCACTAGAACTTCAAACAACAGGGCCACGCTCCGTGCTTTTCAACGTTACTTCGATGATTCTTCTTTACTGAATAACATGCTAAAAACTAACATCTGAGTAAAAACGGAGTTCATAAAGTGGCTCAAATATTAATTGGGCTTATTCACGGTCTAGTTACGTAGCGGAGCCAGGGGGTAAGGGCAAGGGACAGCCGCAGCCCGGGTCCCCTCTGCCCTGGCCAGAGCGGGCTGCCTCTGGGAGCTGCTCCCCGGCCGGAAGCCCCCCTGCCCCTCTGGCCACGCTCTGTTCCCCTGACTAGCAACCCAGATCCCAGGGGCCACCCGACACACTGTGGATGCTCAGTCAAGGTCAGCGGGACGCCCGAGTCATTAACAACCCCCTACACTTCGGAGAAGGCCTTTACCCTATGCGACCTATGTTCACACATGTCCCATCGTCACGTTTCATTCCCGGTGATTCTCACGACCCGGCTGCTGGAAACCACCGCAGGTTTTGTTGCTGCCGGTCACCCGCGAGGAGACAGCAGCTCCCGACTTGCCCGTGGCGGCACGGCTACAAGTTCATTCAGTCATCCCCGATCAACGGCTCGTCCTCCATCGATCATTTTCCCACCGAAACCGTCGGGTGCGCGCCGAAATCCCACTATGAGACGAAAGGAACGCAGGGGAAGCCTACATCGTGGACTTAGCTCCTACGATGCTGAAGCAGAGGCACAAGAGCCACGCCGAGAAAACGCCATAAGAAAGCAGAGTGGACGGCTCCGTGCGAACTGCGCCCTTGTGGGAGAGAGAGGCGCCGTTGGCGGGCAGGAGCCTGAGCCTGGGGACTTTCCAGAAAGGGTGGGGGGACTGTACCATGCACGAGGAACAGGGCCGAGAGATGGGTACTCCTTGAATCTGACAGTCGGAGGGCCAACCGTGCCAGGCCTGGGGCACGAAAAGGAAACACGGCAAAGATGAAAATCTAACGGCTTTCCACATTTGACTGGACTCCTTATGAGTTTCTGAAAGTAACCGTGAAAGGGGAAAAAAGTACCCTCACTCTGGTAAAACAGAAGATAAAGACTCAACGACAAAAATAAAAACTTCCTCCACCTTGTGATAGATAGTAAGGCTAGGAAGTAGGGAACAATGCATTCATTTGCTTTTTTTAAAAAAAATATTGTCCTATTTGCATCAAACAATGTTAACTTCCCGCTAGAGTTATTTTTACTTTGAATTCTGCGATGGCCAAGAGATTTACATAAGAAGAAAGGCTGCGTCTGTCTCTCCATCGCTACCTTGTTACTATTCCCTGGCGTGGCGCTTCGGGTTGCTACTGTTAGTCCACCGTCAGCGAAGTAAGACAATGAGGTGACTATTCTACCCAGGGATGAGCTGAGGAACGCAAAGACCACAACGACAACACCTCCGGACTGTTGTTTTACACTGGACCACCAACGGCGTCTTGCATGTGGCAGAGGAAACAAAACACAACGGTAGACAGCCCCCCACACGGGAAAACCAGCGCCTTCACCGGACAGCTCAGGCCCCAGGCCTTCAGCGATGCTCTGACCGACCTTCTGACCTCCCTGTGTTTCCTCCAATAGCAAAGGGTGCCCCCCCCCATCTGAAGCAGTTTTTCTAAAGCCCTTCTCCTGCGTTCAGCAGACAACTCACGGGCAGGCACTGCGCGGAGAAAGACGAACTGGACACGGTCCCTGCCGCAGACTTCCCGTCCCCCACCCCTCTCCCACCGGTCATCTCTGCCCCACGCACACTGTCCCCTGAAGTCACACGCTGTTCTTCAAAGCTGCTGGAGTCCCCCACTCCCTAAAGTACTTCCATACAGTATCAACGTCACAGCTACTGAGAAATCATCCTTCCACTCCACCGTGAAGCACTTCACCAACCGACAGCTCCATTTTGCCAACCTTTGAACCTGCAACTGCCAAGTGTCTGAGCCTTTGCTACTTTAGCTCTGAGATCTGTAATGTGTGTGTGTGTGTTAACATTCTCCTTTGCCTTCTTTTTTAAAATGGGCATTTGCCTAATCTTTTGCTGTTTGGGGAAATGTAACTCTCTTTTTTTAATGTTAATAAATGCCAACCTTTTATCACTATCTTGCCACTTTTGATCATATTACTCATAAGCACCACTGCCTGTTTCTCGGATGAAAACACCAACCCCCGATTTTGCTAAGGGTTTGAAAACATGCAACACAGCAGTGCTGTTGATCGCAAAATATTCCACGTAAAAATGCATCACCCCATCTTTGCATTTCCGGGACAGCTGGGTAAGGTACCACGAAGCGTTCGCTTTCCAACCTGAACTCACTACTTTCATATTTTAGCTGATGAGTTGTGGGTTCTGTTCCGTCACACTGCTTGTCAATACCCACACATAAAGCTTCTTGCCTGGACAATTAACCTGGAAAAGTCCCCGTACAGTCTGAGCCGGGAAAGCCTAACTTAGTGGGACACAGTAAACGTCCGTTTCCATCACGAATACATGCTTCTCCGGCTCAGCTAACCTCCGAATGATTCTACTCCTGAGAGGAAGGTAATTCTCCTCGGTGGCCTCGTCATCTACGGAGTGGAAATCTCTCCATTGGCAAAGGGTGAGCTATCACTTACGTGACCCGGAGAGGGCCCTCCACTCCTTTTCCCGTGCGGACGGTCTAGAGCACGGGCAGGAATGGACGCAGGGCCACAATCTCCAGACCTACGGCCGAGTGAGTCCATCAAGCGCCCCCCACCCCCAAGCACTTTCTCTCATTCGATTTCTTTTCCTTGTGGTTCATTTCTTCTTCACCTGGGACACTCGCCTGATTGTTTGCACTTTTTTTTTTTTTTTTTACAATCTCACAGCTTTCTCCAGGCGCAACCTGCACCCGTGTTGTACCAACCAGTCTCGAGAGAGACCCTGGTGTGGGACAATGCTACTTTCAACAGCCCTGCGGAGTTCGGATACAAACCCTGCGCGCTGCTTCCGCAGCTCCACCGAACAGCGAACAGCGGGAGGACTGAAACAAAACAGATACAAAAAAACTAACCTAACCAGAAAGGTCCGAGCCGGGCCCACTGCCTGAAATGTGACACTTGGGATGACAGTGCCCCGCAGGGCCAGGACATTCTCCCAGGCTCGGGGGTCCACGGGACACGTCTGACCCACCGCGGGCGGCAGGGGTGGCCCCGGCTGGCCCGGGGCTTCCCGTACCGGGGCCACGAGGGTCCCTCCCCAGGGCTGGGCCGCCGCCCGGCTGCCGAGGGATCCCCCTGCCGGCGGGGCGGGTGTGCAAGCCTCGCCCCTCCCGCCGGGACGCGGGCTCCGGGGCAGCGGCGTCTCGGAGTCTGGGCCGGGTGGTCTGGGGTCCCGGGCGGGCAGAGGCCCCGAGGCGGCGGGGGGCGCGCTGAGCCCCGTGGCCGCAACAGGTGCGCCGGGGCCTGGCTTTTACCTGCAGCGGCGGTTCCGAGTCCGGGGCCGGAGGCCCAGGCCCCGCCGCCCTTCCCCGCCGGGCAGGCCGAGCTCGCAGACTCACTGCCCGACGAACGCCTCGGTACAGCGACGGGGGGCTCGCAGGTGCCCGCGCCCAAGGCCGGGGCGCACGCCGCGCCGGGGACGCGAGGGCCGCCAGGGAAGGCGCGACCCCCAGACCAGAACTCAGCGGCAGGCTTCAGCCGGCGCACCGGTCCACCGCCCAGGCTCCGCGCCCCCGGCGACGTGCGGGCCCTCGCGCCGGCCGGCGTTCCTCGCGGCTTTTGGTCCCTCCCTCTCGCCGTCCCCCCGGCCCCGCCCCCCGGTTGTCAGGACAACCCGAGAGACGCCGTCAGCGGAGCGAAGGCGTTGAAGGGGCGGTGCCGGTGGCGGCCGGAGGGGCCCAAGCGCTATGGACATGGAGCCCCAGAGTAAGGGGGCCAGGCGGGCGGTCAGGGGGTCGGGGGCTCCCCGGGGACGAGGAGGTGGGGGGCGCCCCGCAGGCTTTTAACCCTTTCGACCTGGAAATACGGTTCCTCCCTCGCTCTTTTCTCTGTTGCAGAGAAAAGGGGCGACACCCTGGGGGGGGGGGGGGTGTCCGCAGGGGGCGGGGTGGTGTGGCCCGGGACTGCGGCGCCCCCAGGGCGTTCCTCCTGGAATGACCCCCCGGCAAGTCCACTTGTTGTTGCTGTGACTGTCATTCGCATTATTCTGGTTAGTCGGGTTCATTCACTGTGCACAGTCAGCCGGCCTCTGAAACGTCAGCAGTTGGACCTGCACCGAGGCTGGGTCCTGCATGCGTTAGAGACCCCGTCCTCTCCCCTCACCCGCTGTGACTTAAAGCAGAAAAAAGAGAGCAAGGAAAAGAGCTTTGCCCAAGCGTATTTGATTAATGGCTAAAGGCTCTACAAGGTAGGACACGAAGGAAATACTTTTCCTGTTAGTGTTCCTGACGCTCTTTGGCAAAAGCTGTGCATGCTGCGGCGATCAGGTCTAACAGGAGCTCTTCACTTTTCTTCCCAACTCCTCTAGCGCCCCAGCGCTCGGCCCTTCTTTCCCAAGTCAGCTTTGCCGCTTTTGTCCCTCACACGAGACCCGTGTTTTCTATCAGGACTTGAAAGATCTGAAACGTCTGTAGAAGGGTGCGGTTGGATTCTCGGAACCATCTTTGTGGGCACAATTTCAGAAATGGAAGTCCTCAGATCACATCCGTTCTCTAGGAGAAATGCTGGCATCTGTTTTCCTCAGGCCATTAGCTTGCAACAAGATTTTAAAACTTTCTTTTAAACTCAGTTGCTGAGGACAGAGCTTACAAGTTGAGCGTTACAGTTGCTTGAGCTGATTTGACGGTTTCCTGCCATTGCATTTGTAAATCTCTGGATCCTACATTTTATGGATCCTATGAAAGAAAATTAACATGAAACGACACTGAAACTGTCATCTCGTGTCAGACTGATGCCAGGCTGTGCATGCTCTCTGTTTAGAGAAGAAATGAATGGGAGTGAAATACATATTTCAAAGAGAGCAACTGTCTTCCTCCAGGCTCGTGTTATTGTTTAGATGTACACACTATAAATTTCAGATTCTTCAGCATTCACTCGTTCACAGTGTCTAATACGTCGCAGACACTGTTCTAGGGGTTGGGGACAATGAATGTGGCAGTGTTGTTTGGGGCCGTCCCTGGGAAACTGAGCAGATGCTGCCCCTAAGAACTGCCGATGCCGCCCGAGGACCCCAGAGCAGGGGAGAAAAGGTGGCCGGAGGGCTTCCGGCGGGAAGTAGTCTTAGGCGAAACGGTCCAGCAAAGGATGAGCAGGAGGAGTGCCAGGCAGAGATCCCGAGACCTGGAAGGGCAGTGTGGGTTTGGGGCTCAGAGGAGGTCGGTCAGTAAAGCTGTAGCTAAGACGATGGAAGGGTCAATGCGGGGGGTTGGAGAGAGACAGAGCGGAAGGAGCCGACAGGGCCAGGTCATGAAGGCTCCGTGAAACTGGGCCAGAAGCTGACCGTGCGGATGAAGCACGTCTTACCTCCTCGGATTCAGCAATGGGAAACATTTGTTAAGTCACCCCTGCTTGGGGAACAACTAAATTTATTCCTTTGTACATGCTCTTGACTGCTTTTGTCGATTCGATTTTAAATAATTCAAACAATCACCATTTATCTTAGGGAATTCTTTCACAGTCTAATGAACACCATTTTGGGTACATATTTACTAAATCATTAGCTGTTATTAGTTAAAAGGACAAAATTAATACATGGCTTTTAAGGTCTCTTTTAATTTCAAAATTTATCTCCAATCAGATTTTACCCAGGCCTCGTTATTTCATTGTCTCGGAGATACTGGAGATCCCTGTGGATAGGATATCACCAAGCGTTACAATTATGTATAACTATAATTATACTGTTATCAATGTCACGTTAAGGCTATATTACTTTATCGATATTATCTAACATTTTAAACCTGATGTTTGCACGCTACCTTTTTTTTACTGATGGGTTTTGAGTAGCACTTTACAAGTGTGGTTGAATATGGAGTCAGTCAATTGGTTAAAAGGAAGGATTTGTTTTATTGCTTTTAAGAATTCAACACATATATCCAAGGAACTGCTAGAAATCACCCCCAAGTCAGTCTTTTCCATTCTGTTTCCACACACTTAGTTTTCTATTACTTTTAGGAATGACCTTTATTAACAGAGTCGTTAAAATCCAACAAACATAAACTCTTCACACCTCACACACAGCTGGATCCCACTCCGGAGACAGGCAGAGACCGCGGGGGCGGCTGCCTTTTACCGGATAATAAGTCCGCGATCCGAGACGGGGGTCCCTGGGAGAGGGTGGGCTGAAGGGCCCCGGGCTGCTCCGAGCGGCCGGCTCTCGGCTCACACACATCTTTAATTACTTTCTTCCTCAACTACCGACTCTGTGGGAGAGATAACCCACGCACGAAATAGCAATGGCGAGTGGGCATCCAATTCCCTTTTTAAGAGAAAATATTTAAGTTCTCTCATTTCTCAGTGACAAAAGCAAGGGGCAGCTTTGGGGGTCTCTGGTCCTCCCTCTCATGACCTTTAGCCAACCAGATCTGCTAAGCAAATACATTCTGGGCCAAAAAAAGAGAGAGTGTATATTTATCTAATGCAGCATCAAGATAAGAACCCAGCTGTGACTTACAACCACGCTGCAGCCTGTCCCCGAAACCCGCCCCACACAGAAAATCGGGGCCCCGTCTCCAGCAGGTTCCCGATACCCACCTGCCCTGGGGAGGGGGGAGACTGAGTAGGGAGCTGCGTCACCCCTACAGGGAAGGGACTGAGGCGTGCGCTCAGAGGGATCAGGACTTCTCTCTCCACACCGGCCTTCTGCTGGTCTTCCCCGACTTTGAACAGGATTTCGCTCTGTTCCCAACCGCTGCTGCCAGAAGTCGGCATCCTGGTTAACTCGCCCTTCCCTCACCACCTGTCCCGGCAGCCCTGCCCGGCGGCGGGCCTGCTTACTCCACCTTCCACACACACCCCAACGCTTTTCCTCACTCCCCACTGTAATCTCGGCCCAGCCAGCCGCCGCTGTCTCCGGCTCCCTCGATTTCTGTTTTCCTCCCCCCCACCCCCACGGCCCTGCAGCAGCAAGCCGGGGAGAGCACCGCCTTGCTGGAATGAACGCACATCACATCAGGGTTCTCCCCTTCCCCGGGCGCTCCAAGTTCTTAGGATCTAGCTGCCTCCTCCTTCTCAGCCCCTGTGTGATCTTGGCTACATTATGCTTAAGGCATTTGGTCTTTCAGCCCCTTCAACACGTCAAGCTCCTTTCAGGACCCTGAGAGATTTTCCCTCTGCCGGGGGGCACTTCCCCAATGCCCCCGCAGGTCCCTAACTCAGCGCCCTCTGGTCTTGGCTTATGTGCAGCCTCCTCCCTGAGTCCTTCCCTGACTCCCTCAAGGAGGCAGTGCCCCGTCTCATCTCCGCTCTCGTCTCTGCCTAGCCGTGATCACAGCTTGCAATTCTCGGGTGAATTAAAACACATCCATTGCGTCCCCCGTTCCCGACACGGAGTGAGCTCCGGGCAGGCGTCCGCCGAGTGGATGCTTCGCTGTGAACAGCCGGCTGCCTTCCCTTACGTTCTTTTCTTAAGAGTCTCGTGGCTTTAAGGAGGAAGCCGTGTCACTCTGCGGCAGACGGGGCTGGGCACCCGTGAGCTGTGACGTGCTCTTGTGGAGTAGGCTTCGGGTCAAGTTCGTTTAAATCGGGTGGGTGCCTACCCATGTCAGGTGGATTGCCAATAGGGCATTGCTTTTTCTTTACTAGACTACACAAAGTATGGGAAGAACCTCATTCTATCCAGGAAAATAAGGGAAATAGGCAAGTAATCTTGTTTTGGGGGACCAAAGTGCTGCCCGACCATAGACCCAGCAAAATGTCGGCACTGCTGTGGGCCCAGGACGTCTTTAAAGGTCTGTGTAGCAGTTTGTTTTCAAGTAGTCCGAGCCCCTAAAGAATATCGATTAGGTTGTAATTGAAATATTATCATTAAGAAATCAATGCTTACAGAGATCAAGTTTAAAAACTAAAACTAAAAACAAACAATTCTGCAGCAACACCTTTTAAAGAAATAGCTGTAGTTTAAAATCCCCGTCAAAATACTAGAATTGCTCACAGTCCTGACCTCCAGGTGCTCAGCCAGGCACGGGAAGGGGCGGAAGGACTTGATGCTGGTGGCCGCTGCGTCTCACCGGAGCTCAGGTTCGCACCGGCCTCACCCCCGACCACCTCTCCTGCCGGTGCCTCGGGTCTGACCGCTCCCGGCAGGAAGAGGAACTGCCGCCCTGGCAGGCCTGCCCTGGAGGGCCTGCCCAGTCTTGCCCAGGCCCTGCCCCAGCCGGCCAATCAGGTCACAGGAGGGGCGAGCATTCCAGCATCACCCAAGAATAGCCCGAGTGACTCACCCGGTACGGAAGGTGGTGCAGATCGCTACAAGTAAACAACTCACACCGGCGTTCTGTGCGTGTCCGTGCCCACAGGGCTGAGAGGCAAGCCAGACTTCCTTGGAGGGGCTTATCCCCCTAAGGACCCTCCGGCCTGCAGGCTGGGGGAAGTCCCTTCTCAGACTCCACCTGCCAGCTCCTTCAGCTGTGCCCTGACCCCTTCCAGATGCTCAGGAACCTCCCCGGCCTTGTCTCCTCGGGAGGGGCTCTCATTCTCCCGCTCTCCCCGCCTCCTGCTTCCTTGTCGCTGCCTTGAACGTGCTCACTGCCCCCCACCCCCGCCCCCCGCCCCACCTGTCAGTCCT